TTTCAATATTTAGTAGTCAAGTAAAGAAAAATTCGACGTGGACAGTGTCGTAACTAAAAAGGGTTAGATGAAACCCCGACTTAATCGCAACAATTATTAATTAACTTTTAATTGAATCATAAATAATATTAATGAGGCTTTACTTTAGGTTATTTTTCTTTTTCTGTGTTTAAAATTTCACAATCCGGTTAGATTATAAATCGAAAATACTTTTTTTTTAGTCTGTATGTCGCTGATTACGAATTTGACATCAGATTTCAAAAATTCAAAATGGCGGATCCAATATGACGGACAAAATTTTAAAAATTGATCGGATTTGCTTGAAACACGTTACTTGCGCGTTTTTGAAGTCGCTAATGACGAATCTGGCATTAGATTTTGAAAATTTAAAATGGCGGATCCAATTTGACGGATGTCAAAATTAAAAATTAATTGGACTTGCTTTAAACTTGTTACTCAGGGGGTTTTAGAGGTCATTTTTATTTTTGTTTTGTTTTATTTTTGTCATCCGCGATATTGGATCCGCCATTTTGAATTTTTGAAATCTAATGGCAAATTCGTGATTAGCAACCTCAAAAACCCTTGAGTAACAAGTTTCATTCAAATTTATTAAACTTATAATATGTTTGAAGACAATCCATATGATTCTTTCATTTTTTGGCTGCCATATAGAATCCTCCATTTTGAATTTTGAAAATTTGATGGCAAATTCGTAATCAGCGACCCTAAAAACCTCCCGAAGAAAGAGTTTCAAGCCATTTCAACGTGCAGGAGCATCATTTTCGACTTATTGGTAACAAGTAATAAATACATGTGATGTTTTTCTTTTTTGAATTAAAAACGCAGTTGAAAACACACTGGTACACACTGATCATGCATATGTGTGCTTCATACAAATATTCTGCGTGAAGTGACCATTGCGTATTTCAATCTTCCTTTTGAAATCGGGAACTTTTCAGGTACGTAATAATAAAAAGCTTTATTAAAACCTGTTAATTTCACGTTAAATTTAGAACATATATTAAATTGTTTCGAACTTTTTCTGGATCTTATCCACATAAAATATCTAATATAATTCATTTAAAGTAACTGAATTATTGTCAACTTTTTCTCATATCCATCGTTCAAAAAGAAATTCGGGGATTTTGCAGAAAGAAATTTTTTCCGTGCGTGCATTTGTTATGAAAAATATTATGCGATTCGCATTTGGTAAATGCCTTTCCCTCGTGGGATGTTAACAGCACGCACCTTCAATTCGTTCTCGCGTCTTAAACAACATATTTAGGGGAGACCGGGGCTGTTTGGCGCACTTGAGTTTATTCAAAAGTGTTAAGTTACATTAATTTTTCTCTTTATTCTGCTTAAAGTACTTGATGAACTGTAAGTTTGTACAAAATTTCATTAATATTCATTAATTATTGTGGAGTATAGATTAAAATAACTGATTTTGGCACTCCAAAGTAATTTTTTAACCTCTTCATTTTTTTGTGATATCTCTTTAAAAAATTAATTTTAGAAGAGCTCAAATATTAAGTTTTGAGCTCTATACATTTGTTATTAAGAAACAAAAAAATTTTTTTCATTTATATTAACAGTTTTTATAAAAAATTAATAAATATTTCAAAAGTACATTCGGGGTTAGGTGGCGCGGTTATCTGAAAATTTCGTTAAATATTAATAAAATGAAGTTGATTATATGAAATTTACACATTAATAAGCACCAATAACAATCCTATTCAAAAAATTTAACCGAATAATGGTTTTTAAATATTCACAGCTTTATTATCAAAAAAAAATATTTTTTGGTAATTTTACGATTTCATTTAATTTAAATGAAATTTTCTAATTTTTATATTTATAATAATTTTATTGTAAAATTACATTACAAGACTTACTTTGTTAAGTCTTATATTATTTAAACTATAAATCATATAATTTAATTAATTTCACTGCTGGCGCCACGTAACCCCGTGTCGGGGTTGCTTTCTTTTTTTTAATTAAAGCTGATATGTTACAACAAGTTTTCTATACATTAACTTTTAAAAAAAAGCAAAAATGAGTGAGTTACACAACAAAGAGTAAAAAGTGCGCTACGTAACCCTGGTCTCCCCTACTTTGACCTGTAGGTCCGAAAAATCTAGACGCAGATCACTTTTTAACTTTCTAGACGTCGGATAAACGTCTATCAAACATTTCATTTCCCACTGGGACATACGTACATATACGTGTCAGTTTCGAGTTCCTTGAAGTTCAAAAGGATATTTTATGTAAAAATTTTGAAGTTTTAAGCAATGTACAGGCAAAACACTGATTTTATTTATACACTGTAAAAACAAGTATCTCCATTTGAGATGTTTCTGTAGTCATTTTTGAGTTGTTTGTGTAGTCACTTTTAAGATACATTAAACATCTCATTTGTGAGACATTTTAAGAATCAATCAATCAAAACGTCACAACCGATCGTAAACATAACCTGCAATTTCTCACGTTGCTTACTCGCATGTTCACCTCGCGCGTTATTAATAAAATATTAATTGGTATTAAAAAATGGCTTTAAAACGAGTATTTTGGAACATCGGAAAAGGCAACGAGCGCCGGTGTAAATTGATTAAGTACACAAAAGAAGAAGTAAAATCTGATATTAAATGTTTAAATGATGCTTCATTGAAAGTAACAGAGAAAGATTTAGCATTGAAGGCGGCCCTGCATAAAAAAATACCAATTTTTCAGAAAGAAAATGATGTGATAAAACAATTGTGTGATATAGAAAGTGATGAAGAAGTGCAAAATGATAGTGTGCTAAGCGTCGTATTGATACCAACTATTAATTGCAAGTGTACCAAATCCTTCAGATTCATTTAATGAATTGATAACACTTGATGTACAGGTTATTCAAGTCAAAAATAAATCTATTGAATCACCTACCTATTTGAGAATGTTTTCTGGCTTTATGTTGTTGATAAGATTTCCATTTTCGAAATGTAGCTCCACAGTCATTATGCTAACACCGCGAAAAAAACACATGAAACATTTGAATTGATCCATTTTTTTGAGGTTAGAATGCTTTAAATGTGAGACACATAAAACATTTCCGCTTTCAACAATGGCTTTATATGAAGATATTTAAAACATCTCAAGTTTTCCTAACTCAAAGTTCTCATGTATCGTATGAATCGCAAGTGTCTCAGGCGTCAAACATCGCATGATGGCTTTGGCGTCTCAGATGGAGATACATTACCTATCTCAAGAAAGTGTCTTTAATTTTAAGATACTTTAAACATCTCAATGCAAGTGGAGATACATAAAATGTCTTTAATTTTTGTGAGATGTTTCGATTAATATGGAACAAAGAAGAATCTTCCATCTCCGTATAAGATACCATGTGAGATACTTCTTTTTGCAGTGTATTCGTGGTTAAAATTCATTAAAAAAAACTCTATTTATATTGACATACCCGAAAGTACACAAAAGTTTACGGATCTGAGATGTACGAAAACTTAGATATAGACGATCAATGGTAAAAATTCACGGTATTAACCTTCGCCGGACTGGATACTTTTTATATACACGGTTGACAAGATCCCACCCAGGGTGGGCCAAATGTTTTCTTCTTTGTATATTGCAATAAAAACTTAGAATCATTCCGTTTTTTTCCAAAATTGTTATATGTTACCAAATAATATATTTTATTAATGTTTTGTTGATTTTTTATTTGTTTAAACAATTTATTATTAATAATTTATAACTTTTTCAAATATACATACGGCAGTAGAAGAATTTTATAAATTTGTTACCTTTTCTTCGTAGTTATTAATTCCAAGGTTATAAATAAAATAAAATATATAATTCAATTTGCAACAACTATTATTATAAATTGTTTAAACAAATAATTGTTGCTATTTATTAACATTCTTCATAATATTCCTAGAAAATTGCAATTTTTTTCTAATTTTGCAACTTAACAAGCACAACATAATAACACAAAGATTTTATATGAATTTACTATTTAACCAATTGTTTAAACAAATAATTGTTGCTATTTATTAACTTTCTCTATAATGTTCCAAGAAAGTTGCAATTTTTTTCTAATTTTGCAACTTAACAAGCTCAACATAATAAACATGAAGATTTTATATGAATTTAGTATTCAAACGATTGTTTAAACAATTTATTGTTGTTATTTATTAACTTTCTTGTAGTGTACCTAGAAAGATGCAGTTTTTTCCTAATTTTGCAATTTATCAAACCGAATATAATATAGCCAGACAGATTTGACATAAATTTACTAATTTAACAATTGTTTAAACAATTGTTGAATTTACAATTTTACATCAAATCTATCTTTTATTATATTCGGCTTGATGAGTTGCAAAATTAGAAAAAAACGGCAACTTTCCAGGTGCCGTACAAAAAAAGTTAGTAAATAATAACAATAATTGTTTAAACAATTGTTGAATTAATAATTTTATATCAAATCTATCTTTTATTATATTCCGCTTGATAAATTGCAAAATTAGAAAAAAACTGCATCTTTCTAGGTGCAGAACAAAGAAAGTTAATAAATAATAACAATAAATTGTTTAAACAAATAAAAAATGCAATATAATATTTTTTATATCTATTATTTGACATCATAAAACACTCACAGTGAAAAGTCTGCATGATTTCATGTCTTTTTGTAAAATAGAATTAAAAAAATATCTGAATCATCCCGGTTATCTCCGTACATACATTGATAAAAGTTATAAATAATCAAGAAGAAATTTAAAAAAAAAATTTTTTTTTACATTTTTTGAAAATTCTTAAGATTTTGTTCAGTGACTTAAAATCGCGATTCAATTAAGGCAAAACTTTAGAAGATATGGCAATTTCAATTTGTCTGGCCCACCCTGGGTGGGCATCTTGTCAAGCAAAGGTTAAGAAAATATGTAGTTGATTTTTTCAAATCTTTACACAAGTTAACCCCCTTAATCTCAAATTATTTAATGTAAATTACGTACTTGTAAACATTCAGCAGCTTTCAAAAACGAACTTAGAGACTCTTGGGAAACGTGGACTTCTCCTCGATACATAAATTCCAGAAGAGATGACATATTTTGAGCACTCGTGCCATCTAGTATAACAATCAATCCTGCTGGAGAAGGTGGCATACTTTCGAACAGTTCTTGAAAGTGTTTGCTACATGCAGCTAAGATTAACTTGTGTGCCTTAAATGTAATTCCTGTAAATAAAAAAGACTGTTATGGAACAGTTATATTTTAAAATGAGAGTAAGCAATGTACAAAAAAACAAAGAACAAATAATTATTGATTAAAATATTGGATCTACACATATGCTCTCGGGATTCGTTAATTATGCGTGAATTAGTTAAAAACTACTAATTAAAAACTTAACAAATGTACAACTCGTGTGTCAACGATTGAACTGCATCATCAATTTCAAATAACACCGCAATGTGCGCGCAAGCCTCTGCGCGTCATAATAAACTTGAAGCTGCGGACAATAGATGGCCACTACTTTCCCTCTCCACTACTTTACACTGAGAAAAATGTTTAGTATCATCTACCAAAGTTTGGTTCTCTCTACCAAATTTTTTATTTGATATATGTGCAACTAATCCGTTTGGTTCGGGCTACTAAATTTTTTCGTTGAATCATTTTGTTCGGTCTACCAAATTTTTTGTTTTGCACAACTAACTTATTGTTTTTAAGCAAACAAAAAATTTAGTTAAATGAAATTTTTTTTTTTGTTTTCTCAACCAACTTATTTTTTTGTTTCACCCTTTTCTCTTTATATAACCTACCTATGCCTACTTAAATTAATTTCTATCGCGGAAAAAACCTAACACTGCTGGGGCTCGAACCCTCAGACTACGCAACGCTAGTCGAGAACGCTGACCACTACTCTACGAATCCTACTAACAATTTGAGATTAAATTATTTTCACAATGTATAAAAGCTGGAAAAAAACTTTCGTTCTTGTAACAAGTTTTATTTATTTATTTTCACTACACAAACTTTTTTTTTAAAAAAATGTCTGAAAAACATAAAAACTTCAACACTGAAACTTCACGACGCGAACGACATATGGTTAATGTTGACATCCCGTGAATGGGAAGCGACGCCATATTTACGAGAAGAGCGCGTGCGCAATACAGCATGTCAGCTATTTAGTACTGGGAACCAAACTATTTAGTTTGTAAACATGAAAGCTTCAAATATATTTTTTGGTAGAGCCAACTAAACTTCCCGATTTATTGCCACTTTCTATTCTGTTGTGACAACCATATTTTAGTAACGCCAACTAAAAAAGCTCAACTAAATTATTTTCTTATTATTACGAAATTATTTTTCTCAGTGTATATAAACCGACAACAGTCTTGGTCAATTCATAGATGAATTGAGCAAACAACATTTTTAAAATACTTTTTGTGTTTATTTTATAAACACTTTGCTTCCTCAAAGAGATTTTTTGTGATCAATTTACGGTAACTTATTTACTATTACAATAATTTTAAAAAGGTGTTAAGTTGTATTTTTTAGGCGTTTGCAGATAAATTTTTAGCATCAATAACTTCATAATATTTTATAATAAAAGGTTCCATGATAGGTGAATTGACTCTTTTTTTAAATATTCTCCAAGTTGTTCATAATAATTTTAAAGTTATATAAAGATTTTTAAATCATTAATGCAAAAAAGGCAGGTTTTTCAAAATTTGTCAATTTCAAAATATTAATAACTCTGAATAAAATACTAATGATATAATAATAATTAACAATAATAATTTTGTAGAGTTTTTTAAGAAACATCTTTTGAACTATTAGCAAACATTCTACTGATATTCTACCCAAAGTTATTCAATTTTTAAAAATTAGATTAGGCCACAAAAACTCCACAGAAAATTATAAGGTATTAATATAAGCTGCAACGCTTATTTTAATGCCTTTTAATTTTCTGTGTCCAGAGTAAAAATTTTCAAACGAATCTGATGAAATAAAAAAGAAAATCCGACGTTTATGTCATTCAACTTTGAACGCTGTTTTCTCAAAACTCTATCTTTCTTCTACATAGAATTGACTAGTGCTTGAACGAAGGATTTTTTATTCTGTTGGTTACAATCGATTTTACATGGTCTAAATGGTTCCAAAAATCGTAATTTGTGACAAATTTCAATTTTTTTAAAAACCCTTCATTCAATCACGAGCTATACTTATCTACTGCTAGAAAATATTTGTTTTTTTTATTTTTAATGAAGCAGTCATTAGATATCGTGACTACCGCAAAATAACTTATTTTGGAAGGGGTCTCAAAGAACCTGTTGCCATAGACTTAATTTCTAATATTTATTAACAAAAATTTTATAACTTACTTATCTTAAAGTGTACTTTAAGGTAACTAAGTGCTCAAATGAAATAATTTATTTATTATGTGAAAAAAATTTATAAAAAGACTCACATTTTTTGGCCTTTTTGACCCATGTAAGTATCTTTTTAAGACGCACTCACAACTCTTGACTGCCTGGCTGCAGAAGTTGTCATGGCAACATGTAAGAGTAAGAGAGAGAGAGAGAAAGAGAGAGAATTCAAATTTGAATTTACTATCTCTATAACTCCTGTACGTTGCCATGACAACTCCTACAGGCAGGCAGGCAGCCATAAGGTGAGAAGTGTATCTTAACTTGTATAATTTAGAATGTATGGTTTGACAATTTTTCTTTTATATTAATTTTATATTAATAAATTTTAGCCTTGGCAAAATTTTAGGTTCACTTGAGAAATTCTAACCCACCAGAAAACTTTAAGTTCAGCAGCTTAACTTACACCAGTTCTGGTCAAGAAAATGTACAAGTTCTGATACGAGAGTTTGGAACTACTTCTTGTATTAGAACTTGAACAAGATCTTGTACGGTGATATCAAGCGGGAATATTCCTGTGATATTGATGGGGTAACCCTACACTGTTAGAAAAATCTGTATTAGATTTAATATACATGCGTATGAAGCGAATATGCACTACAGGTATTGAAATCTAAGATACATGTATATTAAATTTAAAGTGACAACATGGCGGCTGTAGATGCCTATTTCACCAAACGGTCATTATTTCCTTGATATTGAAAATTTATTTGAAATTGAAACAACAGTGCGTAATTCTTTAACTATTGTGTTGTTTATGTCCAAATAATGTTTTATAAGGGGAAAATTTTTCAAAAAAAAACATTCTAAATACAAGAATTTTAATATACTTATATGTGACATTTAGGTTAAGTACTATAAATGTCAAATTATATGCATTTTTATAATGTAAACTGATTTAAACTTGTATTTACATGAAAGAAATTACTTTGCTTTATTAATAAAAACCTTATTTTGTACACAAGAACATGTATAAATTGAGTAAAATGCAATTTTTTTATTTGAATTTTTTTCAGTGACAAAATTTAATATAATTTGTATATGAATTACACTCTAATATACCAGTTTCTTAAATTTAAGTACTTTATGTATATTAAAACTACAAACATTTTTAACAGTGTATTTAAAATCCCTGTACAAGATCTTGTACAAGAAAATGTACAGGTTCAGTAGCTGAACTTGTACCAGTTCTGGTGCGGAAAATGTACATTTTCTTGCACCAGAATTTGGAACAAGTTCTTGTAACAGATTTTGTGCAAGATCTTGTACAAAAAAATATATTTAATATTTGTATACAAGAACATGTGGGCGAAATCACGTGAGATTTCCGTCGAACCTTTAAATTCGGCCAAATATATTTTTTTTCTTGTTCTGTAGTGAAAAAAAGAGATACGTATTTTTTTTATTTTTTTTGAAAAATTTTCGAGTCATGAATTTTCAAAATTTCAGTTTCTTCAATGTAGACCTATTTTCAATGGCTCATAACTCGAAAAAAAATGTATTTTTTCAATTTTTGATAAGAGAAGAAAAGTTTCAGTTTTTCTTTTACTTTTCAATAATGTTAACAAAAAATTTTTTTTTTCATTTTTTATAAACAAATTAAGTTTTTTTAAATTTGGATATGATATTTTTTAAATTTTTTTTTTAAAAAACATACCTGGAAATACTAAGAAGATTTTGACAAAAAATTTAGAGTATCCGTTTTTTTCTATAGAGAATGAAAAAAATATATTTAGCAAAATTTAAGAGGTCATAGGTAAATCTCACGTAGAATCGCCTATATACAAGTTGGGTAATTCCGGGGGATATGGCTATATGGGAGAGATGGCCAACTCAATTATTTTACAGGATTTGTTATTTATTATCGATATTCTAACTTGATTTAATGACAAAATGTAAATAAAAGCAAAAAATATGTCGAAAAAAAATGTTATATGAAATATAAACCTTCTTTATTATTTTGCCTAGTTCTGAAAACAGGTGTTATGTTCACGTTTTTTATTGTAGTAGTGTAATTTTTTGGAATAATTGTTAATTTTTTATTTTCTTGAACAGAACATGACCTAAACTTTGTAATAACCTAGAAATTAGACACTAATTATTTCCATTTATTTAAATAATATATGTCTTATAACTTCAGGAGAGATGGCCATGCTATGTTAATGTGAAGCGAACACGTTGTTTATCGTTACCAGCTCCCCTTAAATTCGCAAAAGAAAAATTAAATCAATGAAAAATGACGTTTTGCATGATTAAAAAATTTTTAGTACAATTATTTAAAATTAGATTCACTCTAATATTTTCCATCTTTGACTTGATGAATATTATTCAATTTAATAACAACTGTTCGAAAATTGTATTTAAAAGAATAGAAGACATCTATAAATGATTTTAAAGCATAATCTGCGGTAAATCAAAAAGTCAAAATTAATTTAAAGCATTGGCCATCTGTCCCAGACACCTATAGCCATCTTATCTATAATTTATACATTTCGGGAGAGATGGCCAATTGCAGGTTTTTAAGAAACATTAATTTTTAAATTGTTAACATTGCAATATTTAAAATATTCTTTGTTTTTTCAAAGTATAATGTTCACTGTTTAATTAGCAATAAAAATTAATACATAAACTACTTCCGTTTTATTTTTACGGACATTTAAAAAAAGTATGGCTATCTATCCCGGACTTATTTAAATAACAGTTGGATTTTTCTAATAGTGTCTTCTATGTGTTTATCAAAGCGCGTAAAATTTATTAACTTGATAACAAAAGCAATCTTAATTTCAATGTTTATTAATGTATTCAAT